AATTATTTTTTTCTCCGTTGGTCTATCTTCCTTGTTTGGTTGGCGTTGGACGTTGTCATTCAAGAAAGTTGGATCTGGACGAGTTTGACTGGGTAAGGACAGCGAAGGGTTGGCTCGGGATGATGTAGGGAATCATAGGAGGTTCGAGGCTGAGGAGCTACAGGCGGAGGAGGCGAAGGCGGTGGAGATGGCGGCAGCGACTCGTCTGGGATGGGGGAGCAGCTGCACCAAGCCCAAGATTTCGGTATTAATAAATTCATATTGAGATGTGATGAGATTTTTTGCTTAACTATTTGGATGGCGTGTTCTCACCTTTTCTTTAAAGATGTTATGCCTTCTCAATAAACTAGTTAAGACCCCGGCCAATGCCGGGGCCTTGAAATTAAAAAAATAAAATAAAAATTTAACATTAAAAGGAAATTAGTAGTGAAAGGATATATCATTACTTAAAAGAAAAATATAACAGTGAATTCTAGGGAATTTAATCTTAATTATCTCAATCCCACAATATAGGCATATTTAACTACTTAAGAATACAATCAAAAACAACAAAATACGGGTGATATTGTGTCTTATTATAGCCATAGTATCTGCTGCCATATATGATTCACGAATAACATGGACGACACAACCTCAATGTAAGGAATTTGCCATAGGAGGTTTCTGCAATCAAAATTCAACTTGAAGAAATGAGAATTGTCTCATGTTACATAACACATTATCAAATGTGTTTTCCAAGAATACATTTACAAAAAACAATGGAAACTAAATTAATACCTCAAAAGTATATTGTAATGAAGTTCACCCACAATGAAACCAGTGAAGCCTAGCAATTAATCTTACAACAAAAGTTATGAGGCTTGTAGCAAAGCTCACATAAAAGTACAGTTGATTAGGTAGAATAGAATTAATAGCAAGTAAACTTTCTTTAACATATCTCTTTATATTAATTCAAAATTTAAAAAAGCATTTCTTGTCATTATCCAATCTGTATTTCTATGCAAAGTGCTGTTCTTATTAAATATCTTTTAGACCATGTGCAAACTTCCTTCACCAATACAGAAATGCTCTTATCAATTCATAAGTCACTAAAAAATCAATGTAAAAAGCAGTAAAGTCAATAATGAATCCTAGTATCCTACATACATATACTTTATACTGCTGGATGATTTTGCATCTATACTTGTAAACAAATTCCCAATTCTAGCCACATTTAACATATGTAATTATGTATTGCATTTTACATGTTGCATTTTGTTGTCTCCATGATACCCAAAAAGGAGAAGGAAATAAACAGAGGCAAGGTAAAATGGTAAATCCCATAGCCTTAGGTTTACGTGCATCCAAGAAAATTTAGTTACAAACTATTGATTAGAAGATAAGGAAAATTCTAAATAATCGGAATGTTTTCTGCTTAGAAAAACAGAGTTACTAACCAAAACCACAAGCATAAGGGAGTCAATGAGCAGTATCACCAGCAAGTATTATTTGATTGTAGCAACATATAAACTTTCAGCAACTTCAGCATGCATCACCCATAACTTCATATCAATAACAATTATAACTGAGAGCTCTCTACCAGCAAGTTTGATTTGTTAACTTCTTGCATGTCTACACAAATTTGCATTCTCTTGAGAGCAATTGTTACAAAAAATGGAGAAGGAACCTTATTACATACCAAATCTTACAATTATTTTTTTTTTTAAAAAGTCCATCCCATACATCAACTGTTAGGATAGTGTGAAAATCATTCAAGAACAGTTATAATTAACTAATTTGTCTTGCGCATGAGATAATAATTGTATAAGCAGAAAGTTAAAGCCTAAGCTTAAGCATATTTCAAGGGTTAATATTTGGGGATTTCTTTATGTTAAAGTAATGATGCTACATAAGATAGCACTTTCATACCATGATAGCTTCACCATTTCTTTACAAACCAGGTAACAAATTGATGACGAAAGTAAAATAATTGCTGAAAAAAATGGAAAGCTGGAAGCATCAAAGCTAAAATTGATTAACCATTTTGCGTGAAGTAATTTTGTAACATTAAAAAAGCTAAAAGCTAAAAGCTAAAAGCTAGACAAACCCTTTTACCACCAACCATTGCTAGAAAAAACCCAAAATTATAGAGATGTCAAAGACGCATTTGAACATTTTGTTATAAACTAACCAGATTCAATAGTCAAAGCTCTTGATTTCCATACAAACTCAATCAAGACTGAAGAACTAAATCATACTGAAGAATCCCTTTGTCTCTAACTTTGTTATGAACTGAATATTATAATGGTACAACTAATATGCATTTAGAAGTATATTTAGATTCTAATAAATTAAAACAAAGGTGGTATGCAGATACAACTATTCATGTGGGTATCATCTAGCTAAACCAAAGAACATTGAACCTTTCTAAAATCTCAATTATCTTAGCAAATGATGCTATGCCCTGAAAGCTATAGGTCAAACCTCTGTCATGCTACTCTAGCCTACAAACCCAATACAGGTTAAGACTCTGTGCTTGTTTCTATGAAATAAAGTTAGCATATGTTATAAGAAAGCTCAACTGAAACTAATCTCAAAAAAATAAAAATAAAAATAAATAAATACCTTGTATTTTAGGTCCTTGAGAGCATCAACCACTTGGGCACTATCAACTAACTTGACATGAATTTCATTGGATTTAGCAGGATCATCCCATAGATTATAGAGATAGATCATTTCCTTTTATTTGATTCGTCTAGCTTCTTCAAATTCCAGGGCAATTGGTGCTAACATCTCTGCACAGAGAATTACATCTTCAATCTTTTCAATGAAAACAAACCTAAACCATTTGAATTAACATATCCAATTTCAAGTGAGAAAGGACGATAAAGATATAAGAGATTTGAAAAGATAAAAAATAGTTGCAAAAGAATTTGTTAAAACTCGTAGCTTATTCTCAAGAACAATCATTTTGAAAACACAATATCTTAAAATAAATCACTAACTCCTCAACTTCGATTTGAAAACTCTGATCCTCTAGGCAAGTCTGAAGTCTCAACAATGGGAACTGGGAAATACATTACATTAAAAACACCAAATGTTCCTTGAGAATTAGAGAATTGCAATGCAGCAAATTTTAGTTTCTTTAAAACGTAACATCCAAGGTGCTACAAAACTAAATGCCAACATTTAGACATCTCTCTAGTTTGCACTCTCATTTCTTTAGTAAAGATATTTTTTTGTGACATTAACTCAAATAGTTGATGCTCATTAGCATCTGAAATCCCAAATCAATTCAAAACTCAGACACCCATTTTGAACTATAATATCAAGAAAGCATGATAAACCCAAGTACATGAAAATGGAGAGAAAAAAAAAGGCAAAGAAGACAAACCAAGTTGGTTATACATCCTATTCTTGTCATCAGTAGAATGAGAAGCTTGAACTGTCAAATGTAAAGATTGAGTCTTTGACTGAACCTATAGAATAATTTCTTGAATTATAATCTAAAGATAAAACCCTAAACACAAAGAAAGTCTAATATGTGAAATTAGAGACAGGAATTCTAAAACAAAGAATGGTACCTTCAGATGTATCATTACTTAATACAATGTTGATTCCTTTAACACATTCATCATCTTCATCTGTAAATATACAGAGTTAATAAGACTGGAATGTTCTGTAAATAAAAAAATAAAGAATAATAAAAATAGATAAGATTCCAAGCATATGGGATCTTTATCTTTTCCTCAGACCAAATGCCAAAAAGGAGATCGATTGTTGTAATTTCCCCACCATCACTTGCAATTTTGAGATTAAATTTCAATAATCCAAAAATCTTTGTAATTATGAATGCATAAAGAATCACAAAGTTGGTAAGAAAGGAAAAAAATGCCTGAGCAATCAATTTGATCCCAGCAAGAGGCTACGGCTATATGGCTTGAGCGCTAGTGCGTGAATCCTTATGCTTCTCGATCTACTGACTGGAATGAAGATTCAGAAAGATAGATGACATTTCAATACTTACCTGTTCGTCCAAAAGAAGCATTTCAATATTATCACCCAATTTTGGTTAACGAAAATTCTTCTGCTTCCAAAGTCTAATTATTCTAACCTTTATCCTCCATTGCTCTTTAGAAGAATTAAGATTTTTAATAAAATCAAACATATTAGCCATTAGGATCTATATGCCTTCTGTGTTACTAAAAAGAGAGACTGGTATAACATCATATATGCATATAGAAGAGACCCTTCAAATGACCAATATTTATGAGATAGATTATGAAGAAGAATTGGGAAAATAAAATTGGTAGAATTTGAAATCAGCAGGTGAATGTAAATTTCCAATGCATTAGAAATATAAGACAAAAGTGACGCCTTAAGTGAGGTTTTTGATAACATAATAGGCAAACCAACAATTTTATTGATATGCAGCAGACAAAAATTTTTGGAAATATGGCAGACAATAAATAGTGAAATGCATTCCCAAAAC